GCTTACAATGAAATCTTAAAGCCTGTGGAGAACGAATTTCCATCTTCCTTTTAACTTCCTCCCCTGCTCAACCATTTGGCTCAAAATTATATACCGGTAGCCCCTTCACTGTAATCTCCGTGCCACACTCTACAACGTTGCTCTTAACGCGTGACACGGCATCCTTTCCTCTGTCCTGGAAACCATCCATTATCACCTGTTCCTCTTTCCATGCTCTTGCCAATTTATATTCTCTCTCCTGAACATGAAACTGTGATGAAGCATTTTTACCCCTTGCTGGATTTCTCACCTCCAATGAGAGGGCGAGAGAAGGAGATATTTTTCCCCTTGCTGTGATCACAGCCATGCGCACAAACTGATCCTGCACAAAACTAGTGTCCTTTCTCTCAGAGAAGCAGAACAAAGCCCACACACCACAAGTACAGAAAAAAGAACTATTTGATTGTTCAGAAAGGCACAAAACACCTGTCCATGGCTTCTAATCCATTGCCTAGTTGTTCAAAAAGAGGTGCACCACTTATCTGTGGCTTTGCATTCTATGGCTTAAAACTCAACTTGCAATTGTGAAAAGGCTCACCAAAGGCACCAGAAAATACCTTGCCCTCTTGCAATGAGGAGAAAAAAATCCTGTGGCTTCTCGCTCTCACGCATGAGAATGAGACAAGCAAGACTTAGGTCTCCAGCGCATCCAACCGCAACAGGTCCAGTAGGACAATGTTTGCCAGGGTCATGGGCCGTTCACTCAAGTAGGAGCTAGCTGGAACTCGCTCCGGGTGGCATGCAGAAGCCTTTATAGAAATGGGCTGATCTGGACTTGTCATTCACCTTGCCCCTTCGAAGAAGTCATTTGCACTTCTTGAACAGCTATCACACTGTTCTGCAGCGGTAGAAGTCAGGCGAGAGATGACCCGGACCAGCTTCCTTCAGATGAAAAATGAAATATGCAACAAGACGTTTAGAATTGGCATGCTGCATGCTCATCGCATGGGGTGAGGTGTCTTTGGCTCTCCTGTACAGCATGAGATCATGGACTTCAGCACAGGGGCGCTTATAAGAGACAGGGGCCTTGGAAATGTAGATTTCTCACAAGGTGCTAGCTAAGAATTTCTCGAATTGAGAAGGTTTCCACCCCCCTCAGAAATTCTAAGGGGACTGAACAAGACCAAGAAACCATAAAGCACCTCAGAGGCAAAAAGCTAGAATACTATGAAAAACAAGAAATACAGATGGTTAAAAATCAGTGGGAAACAAAAATAACAATAATAATCTTAGAACTACAGAGCTGGAAGGGACCCCTAGGGGCCATCAAGCCCAGCCCGTCGAGAAGGCACGGTGGGGGATTTGAACCTCTGGCTCCACAGCCAGAGACCTCAGCCCCTGAGCTGTGATTTAAATCAATGGTTTCCAACCTGCAGTCCCCAAATGTTTTTGGACTACAACTTCCAGGCATTCTGGCCAGCACAGCTAGTGGTGAAGGAGGCTTCTGGGTGTTTTAGTCCAAGAATACCTGGCAACCTAAGGTTGGGAAGCACTCATTTAGATGAACAACATTACTGTTTAGGGCGAGTCTTCCTCCCCTCTAGGACCAAAAGAGACTCTGCACACAGAGGCTTAGAGATGAGAAAAGTAGCTCAAATGGGCTTGACTTGTGTATTCAAGAGTCAATTGTAGGGGGAGAGCACGAGAGCCCCTTCATGGTGAGACAGGGTTTGAGAAGAGGAACGGAAGACCCTCAAGGTGATCCTGACTCTGTGGGATGCTCCAGGCCTGGATTTCCTGCACAAAAAGGGGTGGGTGGGAGTTGGACTACATGACCTCTAAGGTTCTTAGAGGCTGGACCCGATGATCCATAGGGTCCCTTCTAGCCCTGCAGTTCTAAGATACAAAGGTTTCCCCCGAGGCCAAAGGTTTGACAGTCTCTTACCTGCCCCTAAGAGACGGCAATTCTTTCACAGTCACCTCCATGCAAACTAGGATCACAGTAACAATTAGGTAGGTACCCAAGACAGTATTCTGGCAGCCCCAGCCACCTTGACGGGTTGGTGTCTCCACCCTGGTGAGAATAGCTATCACCTCACCTACCGGGGGGCATCCAGCAGAGGCCACCAAGCCCCCTGGGGAGAACTCCACCGACAAATAGATTTAAACATCTGCCGCAGAGATAGATCAATGTCCCTCCGTCAAGTTGGGTCCCTTGACCTGATTCATAGGTATTGACTAAAGGTGAGGCAGAGGCCAGGAGGCTCCCGGGAGATAAAACACTTGTCTCCCTAGCCCTATAATCCAGAAAGCCAAGGCATGTGGTATTCCCCTTGGAGATATTCTGCTCAAGGGGCATGGCTCTTTTTTGAAGCAATGAAAACATCAGCCCTCACAAAGGCCATTAAGCGTTGGCCATTCTTTTATCATGAAAAGGGGAAACTGAATAATGGATGAACACACACAGGTTTGTTTTCATGATCCCATTTGGAATGGGCCAGTTGTCACAACAGCTTTATGTACAGCTGCTCGCTGGCTTGGGCTGCGCCTCGAATTACCGACACCCCTTTGCTTGGATTCGGATCAGTTTGCACGAGGTTTCAATCCAAAGCCAGGCAACCAGATTTGGTTCCTGCAGGAAGCACCATGACTTGGCAAAGAGGAGTTAAGAGCTCAAGCACAGACTGGATTAGAGCCAGCACAAACACCTCCAACCTGCTGCTCGTTTAAAAGCATTTTTTTTCTTGAGTGGCTGGCATGCAACCCATGAAGCTAGCTGGCTGAAATTTGGCAGGCACATGGCATGCTTTAGGATCGACTGTGCCTCCCAAACTTTGTTGCTGTTCTTATGTGCCATCACATTGCTTGTCACATCTGGTGACCCTATGAATGTTCTGCCCTCTTGCAAACACATGCCTGTGGTTCCTTGACTGAGTCAATTCATCTCATATTGAGTCCTCCTCTTTCCTGCTGTCCTCAACCTTTCCCAACATTATTGTCTTTTCCAAAGACTTTTGTAAGACAGCCTCAGTTTCAACATTTTTGCTCCAGAGATAGTTCAGGCTTGGTTTGAGTTAGAGCCTGCTTGCTTGTCTTTCCGGCAGCTTGGGGTATCCACAAAACTCTTCTCCAACACCATATTTCAAACTCATTTTTTTCCTGTTAGCTTTTTTTTTTTAATAATAATATAATTTATTGTCATTGTAAGTATATACACAGTATACCCATACAACGAAATTCACAGCTTTCTTTCCTGCCCAGTTTTCACACCCACACATGGTGATCAGGAATACTGTATAAGAATGTGGATGATCTTGGTCTCTAGGGACACATCCTTACACTTGATGAACTTCTCTAGTTCCTTCACTGCTGCCCTTTCGGATTTCCATCTTCCTCTGATTTCTTAGCTGCAACCTCTCTTTGGATGGAGAATTGAATCAAGGTATACACAGTTGTACAGTTCATCTTAAAGTCCTGCTTTGGCACTTTCTGCCGTCCTGCTTTGGCACTTTCTTCTTTCACTCTCACTAAAAATCATTTCAAGGCATTGCTACTTTCTGCCAGTAAGACGGTGTCATCTGTGTCTCTTAAATTCCACATTGGTGAGGGCCAAAATGAAAAAGTTGGGAGACATTCTGATTTTGCAGTGCAGAGTTCGGCACTGGACTTTGCAAATTTAGGGATCAGTGCTGTACCCAGGATTCAAACCAAACCGGGTGGACACAGATCGTTCTGGACTGAATCAGGATACGTTCCAAAGCCAAAAATTGACTTCCAAATAGAATACGAGGGAGGGGGTGCCTTGGCACACAGTCCAATACATAGGCAGAGACCCACATTTTTGACACTACAAAATACCATGCATCAGTCACCATGGGAACTGTGCAACCAAACTGCACAATACTAGGTGCCCGGGCGTCATGTTCAGCACATTCCCACAGGCATACATTTATGCTAGGCCAGAATGAAAAGGATTTTAGCCCCTGCTTAACAGATTTATGTATGGGTTAGCATTTGCTTATCAGAAACTAATCTACTGTATTTACTTATTGCCACTATGTTTGTGATCAGTTAATGAACCGTGAATGGAAGAATGGTCACGTTCTCTATCCTGCAATCTCTGACCCACGTAAACCCTAACCGTGTGCACTCTGCAATTAAGTGGTGACTTGAATATCATACTCCATGCCTCCAAAGAAAAGAGTAGTAGACCTAGGATGTTCCAAGTTTTTGAATTAGAAATCCCCTCATTCCCCATTCTGGGAGTTCCATCTGATTTGTAGATACCAGCTTCCTGTTCCTGCCCCACTGCCAGCTGGGAGCTTTCGTTCTGATCAGGATTCTAAGTGAAACTAGGCCCAGCTATACCTTAAAGCCTTGATATCTTAACCCACTTCCTCCACCGCTCGTTGAGTTTTCATGGCCAAGTGGAGATTCGAACCCTATTCTCCTAGTCCATCACTCTATCCAATACACCAGTGGTTCTTAACGTGGGCGATAATGCCCCCCAGGGGGCGATTTCATTTTT